AATATATATATAACTAAATATATATATATAACTAAATATATATATATATATAACTAAATATATATATATATAACTAAATATATATATATATATATAAAATAAGGTTGTTAGCAGCCACATCCATAATCTCTGTTTTACTTATGAAATAACACCAAAATGCACATGTCTGACCTACTCAGTAAGAATAGCCACCATTCTCACTGACAACACCTGAAGCCAGTCCTTTAGCCTGAAACTGGCCTCCAAGTGGTCTTACATATCCAGGCACCACATAGAGGCACGAGGCTCTTTTTCCCAAAATGGAACTCTCATTATGATACTTCTTCCCCAAATGGAAAGTGGTTCTCCACTGGCTTGCCTTTGAGTCCAGGCAGCCTGGCATTCAAAATCACCACAATCTGTCTGCACAACAGTCACCTTCTCCTCTGAGTGGAGTAGCTGGCCTCACCTTGATACTCTTTTCGGCCACCTTGATGTGCTTTCTGTATATTACAATTCCACTCACACTTAAGTCCTCTTGTTCTCAAACCCACCTCTGACAACCCTTGCCCACTCCAACTTTTCCCATCTCAGTTAGAGACAGGCTACCTTTCCAAACTCTATGGTTGTTTGATTTTTGTGCACAGGTCCCAAGTAACACTGAGCTCTCTGATGGCAGGGATCAAATTTTCTTAGGCTCCCTCACATGAGCTCTTGTCTGACCTCAGTGGGATTGAGGAGGAATAAACAAGGTAACTGACTGGCCCCTTCTGAATTTTTTGTTTCTGCAGTGCTGGGTGTCAAACCCAGGCCATTGAGTATGTAAGGCAAGTGCCCTGCAGTGAGCTATGTCTCCAACCCCTTCTGATGCACTGGCTCAGCATGATTTTGAGGAGCCAGAACTGTTGCTGTGCACAGTGTTAAGATGTACACAAGCTGGGAGTGGTGGAGCATGCCTATAATCCCAGTGACTCAGGAGGCTAAGGCAGGAGGATCACGAATTCAAAGCCAGCCTCAGCAATTTAGAGAGGCCCTAAGCAACTCAGCAAGATCCTGTCTCTAACTAACTAACTAACTATATATACACACACATA